TTTACCATTTAATACAGAATACAACAATTTAGAATATATTTCATTTAAAGAACAACTAAAGATCACTATTTTAGGCCTTGAATAAGTGTATAAAATACACTTATCATGCACCACCATGACCATCTGCAAAACACCAACCACTCCCCAAAACTACAACTAAGTGCAGATTGGATCAAAAACCCATTGTTAAACAATCACGAACAAATCATCCAAGGCATATCAAATAAAAAACTCCAACCACCACCAATAAACAACCTATATTGCCACATACGACACTCTACGAGGTGACGTCTTGTATCGGCTTAGCACCTTTGCGCATAGTGTGACACAGCTGAGCTCAGTAGTTATGTATGATGCTATGTGGCATAGGAGTAAAGAAGGATGATGGACGGGGGGGGGGGGGGGGGGGGGAGAGAAAGAGAGAGAGAGAGAGAGAGATTTAAGATTTGGGAGTGGAATTGGGTTGGCCAGATGGGTTCGGGTGGGATGGGTATGTAGATTAATTTAATTATATAATATTGTTATTACTATTCAAAAGATGAATTATCAACTTATTTTTTAATAAAAACTTTTAAACTTGATTTTTGAATTGAGAAGTTAAATATCTTGTGTGGATAATTTCTAGGATGAGTATGTAGATTAATTTAATTTTATAGTATCGTTATTAATATTAGAAAGATGAATCATCACCTGATTTTATAATGAAAGGTTTTTAATCCAGCTTTTTGAATCAAAAAGTAAAAAATCATGTGTAGATGTAATTTCAACTTTCTAATATGATTCTTGAGGTACAAATAATTGTTAGTTCATTGCTCTTTAATATTTTATATTATAGTTTGAAATATTATCATTCTATGAATCTTGGCATATAATTTTAATTTTGACGTCGCTCTTGTAATTAAGAATAGAATGCATTTAATCAAACATCACTTTTTCTTGATTGATTTAGTTTAAATTCTATTTTTCTAGAAAGGAAAGTTTGTAATAACTCAATTTATGTTAATTTGATTAATATGAACAATCCATAATTATTTAAAATTAAATTTAATTATTTTAATATGTTGAGTGAAAGATGATGTTTAAATTAGGGTCAATTTGAGCCCCATTTTTTTGAAAATATATTTTTTCAAAACTTATTTTCATTTCTAATAAAATAATATCACATGAATTGAAGACTTTTTCTTGGGATAATTAGTACAAAATGTCTTTACCTTTTAATATTATTGTGTAAAATGTCTATACCTTTCATTTTTTGACATTTTCATCCCTATTTTCATATTCCACTGTGAAAAAAGTCCTTTTGTTTTCTCAATAAAAAATGTAAAATGACAAATCTACCCTCATATTTAAGTAAAACAAAAAAAGAAAATTGTGAATAAGTCCAAATAAATTATTAAATTGGTAATTAGCACACACTATCCCTACCTTTTCATATTATTGTGCAAAATGTTCATATCTTTCGTTTGTTGGTATTTTCACCCTATTTAAATAAAAAAAAAAAAAAGGAAAAAATGCAACTTTACTCCCAAAATTTTCAAAAGAAATACAAACAAATTCCTAATAAATAATTAAAAAAAGAAAGTGATTTTTATTTTTTGTTAATTATTTATTTAAAATTCATTTGTACTTTTTTGAAAAATTTGTTTAGTATAATTGCAATTCATTATTTATTTTTATTTTCTTTGTTTTTGTTTTATTTAAATATGAGGTATATCCATCGTTTTAGAGCTTTTAATAGAGAAAATTGATGAAAAATTATAGTTTTCGCAATAAAATGTGAAAATTAGGGTAAAAATGTCAACAAATAAAGGATAAGGATGTTTTGCACAATAATATTAAAGGTAGGAACGTTTTGTGCTAATTATCCATTTAATAATTTTTTTGGACTCATTTGTAGTTTTTAAAAAGTTTGGGAGTATAATTGCAATTTGTTCTTTAATTTTTCTTTTCTTTTTTGTGTTTTATTTAAATATGAGGATATATTTACTAATTTACATTTTTTTATTAAGAAATTGGATGAAAATGATCTTTTCCACAATAAAAGATGAAAATATGTTTGAAAATGTCAAAAAATAAAAGGTAATGATGTTTTGCACAATAATATTAAAAGGTAAGGACGTTTTGCGTTAGTTAGACATTTTTCTTAATTTTTAACTACGCATTCTTGAAAAATCACTATTCAAAAATGTATTTTCTCCTCTCAAAATGGGGCTCAAATAAGGGCTAATAAAGTCATGTTATCTCCTTTTGTGAATTCGTAAGCAGCAACATGAGCTAGCCTAATGCTATTAACACTACGAATTCCGTATAGGAGGGTTGAGCAATTTTCGTTACTTGATTGAATTCTTTTTTGATAAGATCTTCTAGATGGAATATGATTTGAAATCATTAAATAGATGGTAAAATTATTTTCAAGTATCTATAGATCTAACAGAAATTATTTAGTCAAATTAAAATCATCCACGAATATTCTATAGTGGCTCTTATACAGATAGCGGAATAATATAATGTTTCAAAATTTAATACATTATGCTACAACCAACCTTATCAAATAAGTCACTATGAGAAACTATGTTATATAATTCTTAAGATAGGTTGAATCATCACAATAATATGAAATTAATTTAAAATTCTCTAAATCCCTAAACCTGTTGAATCTCAAGATCGGTTGACAAGTATATCAATAGTGTTCCAACCAAACACAAATTTGAAATCTGATTATAATTTTACCTAAAATTCCTTAACCTATCGTTGAGTTTCAAGATAGGTAGATATGTGTCCAAAGAATGTTCACAAAATGTAGTTTCCAGAAAATTCCGCATCCTAATGGAGTAGGGGCATTGAATCTTATCAAAATGGTTGGAAACAAGAGTTGACAACTGTGGCAGGACGAGTACCTCTTATATCTTCTTCTACCTGTCACTATGACATATATGCTTTAGGAAGACGATTGAATACAGTTTTAAAATAAAATACTACATTCGTCTCATAAAGATAGACGTATTTTTTTCACATAGATTAAAAATATATAATTAATATAATTGGAAATATAAATTTTTCTTGTATTTTCTCTAATATACCCATACCTTAAGTTAAATAATGATTTAAACAAGATTGATTTTATATTTGTTGATAAAGAAGTATATTAAATAGGAGTATATTCGAAAAAAAATCTATATTTTTAGTAAAGAAAGTGCCTATAATTTGGGAACAGATGAAAAAGCCTATCATTATGGGATGGAGGTAGTATAAGAACAAATATTTATACAAGAAAATTGCAAACCTAGTCTTCTACACAAGTTTTAACAAGTATGTAGATCTGGGAGCAATTTGGTTCCGGTCGATTTCGATTTCAACCCAAAATCAAAATCAAATTAGTCAATTTGGGTGAATTCCGACTTTTAATTCAATATATATTTTTTTTTCAAAGAAAAAAGAGTCCAAATTTTGGATTCACTTAGATTACAAGAATTAAAATAACTAAATAACTTTATACAACATGAACTATTGACTAACAAATAAAATTATGTTAATGAAGACAAAATAGTAGGAAACTTCAGAATTTTGTTGTTGTTTTTTTTTTTTTTATGTAATATGTAGCTTGACTATTTAAATAAGGAAAAATGCTGAATATAATACAATGAACTTTGAGGGAATCGAAATATAATTATGAGATTATGACTTATATTTTAATTTTTATTTTCTTTATAAATGAGGTAAACATTTACATGAGTTGAATTGGTTCGGTTAACTAGCAATTCGAGGTTTGAAATCATTATTGAATCGACTCACCATGATTTTGTTTTAAAAATAAAAAATAAAAAATCAAACCATATCAATTACCTGTGAGAAATCAATCCAAATCAATTCGAGTTGATTTGATTCGATTGATTTTTCGATTATTTTGCCATACCTATATAAGTAGGTTCTGGATTTTCAAGTTCACAGCAAGTTAGTTCTTAATAAAGGAAGTTGATCAATTCTACCATTAATAAGACATGTGAACCTTACATCCAACCTTTTTTTCTTTGAACCATAGAGACAGAGAGAGAAGTCAAAAGCATTCAGCTAACTTTTTGGTGCGCTAATTAAACAACACAAACTGTAAGGACTTTGTTGGTGGCAAACGTGACACATGAATCTTGTCATGTTTAAAGTCCAAAACTATGGTTCCTTGTAAACATAGGACAACGTATTGGATTGGGAAATATGATTAGGATGGATATATTAGGAACGGTAGGACTGGAAATTTTTTAGGCTAAGTAGCACAAAACTCTCTATCTATTGATCAAACTATCAAAAAACCTTCCACCTTTTAGAAATGGGTAATTATTATATTACCACCACAAAATTTATTAAGTGCACCACATTATATTCACACCACAATTAATATATAGTTTTAATAAATACACTACAACAAATTTACAATTATATACCTAATTTTATTTTAAAAAAAATCTAGGTTTTAATAAATACACTACAACTATGTATTTTGACATTTCTTTCAAAGAAGAAGAAGAAGGAAGAAGGAGGAGGAGGAGGAGGAGGAGGANACAAAATAATTCTAGATAGGATTGAAATAAGCCCTTTAACACCTAGGTGTTCACACACTATATGAGACAGTGATATTCATTCAGTTACAGTTCACATGTATGAATGGAGTCCCTTGACGATGGTGCCATTGTCAAATTGTGATGATCATGACATGAATACAGTATGAGATTATGATACTTACGATTATGATAATGATTTTGTAATGCTAGGATATCTTCGATGTGGATAATTATGCTAAAGTGATAGCATCCCATCGTTGATATTTTTTTATGCATTACAATCCACAAATGCTATGGTATAGTGAGGTTGATTATCACATATGATGTTATGGGATGAAGATGACGTCAAAGGTTTCCGGTGAAATTTTCCAAAATAAGTTCATAGATTGTTACAATTTTATTAAGTTTGTGGTAAACATGTTCATATAAGATTT